TGTGCACAAATAAGGATTAGTTGTATTAACCATACATGGAAACAGAGTTTTATGGGGCCCCCAGAACTTGGGGCCCTAGGCAACTGCCGATTCAGATACCATTCACCCCATGTTATGCAGGGGGGAACTGTATCTGACGGGGTTTATAGGCCTGTCAGATGGTGTTTCCCCCCTGATGTCATTTAGGTTGAGTTGCAATAAATGCAAAACTCTCTGCAGGTACTTGTCTTTGTCGTCCACTCTATTCAGATGGCTTTTGAAACACACGGTGACAAGGTGGGGGCCGGGTGGTGAGGGTTACGGGGGCGAGAAATGCAAAAGCAACGCAATAGTTACTTTTACTAGTAACTAGTTACCTTTTATTGTGGAGTAACTCCGTTACGTTTTGGGAGAAATAACTAGTAACTATAACTAATTACTTTTTCAAAGTAACATGCCCAACACTGCTGACCTATAAAAAAATTCAACACATTGAATTTGACAGAAACATTCTATTCACTTGGCTAGAACTTGAAGAATGTAGCAAGACATTTATGAAGCAACTCCGGTGGGACTTGAACCAACAACTTATGAATTGCTTTGCATTTCTAGAAGTCAAATGCACTATCCATTGCACCACAGAGCAATGTGCTACAAGGTTGTCACAGGGACAGATTTCTGTCATTCCATGGCCTATAATTCATCCTAGACTTTTTATTGTTGCTATTTGTTATCAGTTAATCAGGTTATGGTAGAATGTGATGGATTTGAAGCTGAGAAAGTTCAACCAATCCTGCAAGGCTCTAATGGTATACTGAATCTAAAGTTTTTCATTATAAACAGATTAAATGTGCCTTGAGTTTCTGGCGGCTAGCCAGATGAGTACTAAATAGAAGTTGCTAGGTTTAGGTGTTTACTTTTGAAAATATATAATAGGTGTCAGGTTATAAAATGCCCATCAGTTTGTCAACAAAAAGTTTATTGTATCTGCAAGAGTTTTTGAGTTGCTGCTTGCTATTGGTCAAAAAGGCTACAGTAGAATATGAGCAAAACAGGTTGAGAAAGCTCAATGAACCTTACAATATAGTAGTGTTAGATTAAATTAGAAGTTTTGCATTAAACAGATTATATAGATATATTGTTTTTTATGATTGTTTTATACATATTCTTATATAATGTCATGTTGCCTATTTGTTTCTTCCTTTAGGGTGGCACCGTCATTGGAAGTGCGCGTTGTAAAGAGTTTCGGACCCATGAGGGACGCTTAAAAGCAGCTCATAATCTCGTTCAGCGTGGAATCACTTATCTATGTGTGATCGGCGGAGATGGCAGCTTGACCGGAGCCAACCTGTTTAGAGAAGAGTGGAGTGGCCTTTTGAATGAACTGATTGAGCAAGGTGATTGTCCACTCTATCCATTTATTTATTTATTGTTTCCATACCTCATATGTTTCATCAATTTCTATCTTTTTTATCCAGGGCTAATAGATGAAGAGGCAGCCAAAAGTAATTCTGAGCTTCACATTGTCGGGATGGTGGGATCTATCGACAATGACTTTTGTGGTACAGACATGACTATTGGCACTGACTCGGCCTTGCATAGGATCATTGAGGTGGTGGATGCCATCATGACTACAGCTCAGAGGTAAACATATCCTTTTGTGGTAAAAAATAAAGCCGAAATCTTTGCATTTACAAGATTACATTATATTGTTTAGGTCAATTAGAACAAATTCCAAATGATGAGACCTTTCTGTTATTTTTTAATTTCTGCTATTTTTTCAGTCACCAGAGGACATTTGTGCTGGAAGTTATGGGCAGACACTGCGGGTAAATATTTCTTTCAAAAAACATAAATAATTGCCTTATGCAATACTCAGACTAATAATAAAAAGGATTCCTAATGTTGCAAGCTTTGAACCTATTTTTTTGTATCAAGGTTATTCTAAGACATATAATGACATATGAAGTCCATCCTGTGATCAATATACACTACTTAATATTTAATATTGAATTCCATTGACAATTTTACATTAAAACAATGTGAATGTTTATGTCTGTGTTCAGATATCTTGCCTTAGTCAGTGCCCTTGCATGTGGAGCAGATTGGGTTTTTATTCCAGAGATGCCTCCAGAAGATGGCTGGGAGGAAAACATGTGTCAAAAACTTTCTGAGGTATCCCCCATGCTTTTTTTTTCTTTTGAAAAGGCTAATGTTTAAAAAAAAGTTTTTTTAAATATGTAAATACACAGCACTTTTATACGACAGGAAATTCAAGATAAATATAAAGAAAATTATAATTTCTGTTTTCTCCAAGTTTCTATAGTTATTATAAATTGGATTTCAAAAGGAACCACCTCTTTTACAATCTGATAATGAGGTCATGGTCTATAAATATTTATTGATTTTTATCTACTATTTCGAGAGGATAAATAGCACAACAAGCAAGACTACTGAGCTTTACTTGTTAGTAAGCCTTGTGGAATGCTAGAGGACTCATTATTAGGAGAACAAAGCTTGGCATATTCACAAGCACAAGTGATTACATGTTTCCAAATCATATTCGAGAGAGTGAGTGAAAACCCCCAAGGAACAAAGTCTGTTGAACAAAGAGCAAGCCTCTTGATCACACATTAAAACTTGATAGCTCTCTAAGAAGAATGAACTTAATAAAGGCTGTTTAAGATTGTTGTTGGTAATGAAAATATCAATCAGATGTTAAGTCCATGATTTAGAATTTCACAATGTTTATTGAAAGATCCCTAAAATCACTGCTTTGGTGGGATTTAAAATGTACTACTTATGAATGAAATTATGTTAGGTCACTATAACGCAAAGATGCAAACTTTACCACAGAGTCCATTAGTCGTTTTATATGAAATATGACCCACAGGTCAGTGATTTAAAAGAGGTTTTAACTTCATTTTTTATCAGTCATTTCAATATGGAACACTGCAGTTTTTTGTCTAGTTTAGTCTACTTTTTATTAGAATATAGGGATGATCATTTTAGGGAGACACTGAGATTGGAATCAAGGCCAAATGGGCCAACTAGTGCTACAGAAACATGTTTATAACATAAAACATGTAGCTTTCATTAAACATGTTTCAACAGATTTCTTCCCCCAGATCATCTTAAATGAATGCAAGATTTTGAGTCATGTGTGTGGCAACCTAGTGGTTACGGCATAGAGCTTGGAATCCTGAGGTTTTGAGTTTGAACCCCACTCCAGCAGATTGGGTCTCTGAGCAAGACCCTAAATCCCCAATTGCTCCCTGGGCGCCCCACGGTGGCAGCCCACTGCTCAACAAGGGGATGGGTTAAATGCAGAGGTAAATTTCTCTAATGTGAGATGAATAAAGTTCAGTTATTAGAACAAATTGTTCTACAGAACCAGTCTGTGTTGTACTATTTGCCTTTATGCATGATAGTTAAACTACGCATCTGTTATGCTTCTAAGTATAGATCTGGGAGCAATGGTTTCATTTCATCTCTTGAAGAAAGAGAAAAAACTTGTTCAATTCTGAAATTGCATACAATAAATATTACATGTTAAAAAAAAAATATATATATATATATAATTTAAACTGGGTAGTTTGATTTTTTTTTTTTTTACATTGGTGCTATTATAATTTTTCTGTATATTTAATTTTGCATTTGCTACCATTTAGAGTCGATCTCGGGGTTCCAGGTTGAACATTATAATAGTTGCTGAAGGAGCCATTGACAGACAAGGACAACACATTACCTCTGATTTAGTGAAGCATGTGAGTAAAGCTCAGTCTTTGACTGATGCAGAGGGGAACCATAAGCTGGAGAACCTGGTGGAAATTTATGGTTCTCAAACAATAAACATCAAACAATTTCAGTCCACACGGGATGCTTATCACACTTTCACAAAATCTGACAAATTACCGATGTCAGCTGTCAAAGAACCGTTTTTTTCCTGACATCATCCTCCACTGTTCAGTCCAGCTTGTGGCACTGCAAAACGTTTTCTGTCATGTTTTCAAATGTTGTGATTTTTATATTTCTCTAGAACCGTGCTGATAAGAAAAGGCTGAACATTATTATTGTAGCCGAGGGTGCCATTGATAGCCACAACAAGGCAATAACCCCCGACTATATCAAGGATGTAAGTATGGTCGGGAAGCCTCGTCTCCTTGATGGATGCTCCAATTCTCCCTCATAAGCATGGGTTTTTCTTCTTGTCATGGTGATGGTTTCCCCAAATTGGAAACGTGCCACATTTTATGCTTCACATGTGGTAATTTCTGAGAAAACGTGCACGTTTTATTACATTTTTCTTATTTTCATTATACTTTTTTTCTGTTCTCACGTTTCCTTGTTTCAGCCCTACCGTCGCTCTTAGGTTGACCTTGCATGTGCATTATTTAGCACACATCAACATGACAGGGGATGTTTTGCATGATTTCTCCTCTGTTATTTTATTTTATTCTTGGTCCTTGGTACTTTTTTTGTTTTTATATTTTTTTTTTCATTTCCCGAAGTTATAAAATTTTACAAAGTATAGACTAAGAAAATGTTTAGAACTCCGAATGAGAGCGCAATGAATGTTTACGTTGGAACATGTGATACATTCTTTAGATTTAAGTATTTTATACCATTTTACTCACAATTTATATATTCTCTTAATATATTATGTCTCTATAAATAGCTGGTAGTGAGCCAGCTTGGTTTTGACACCAGGGTCACTATCTTGGGCCATGTTCAGAGAGGGGGAACTCCATCTGCCTTTGACAGGATTTTGGTAAGTCAAATACACAAGGCTATTTTTTTACTTTTGGGAAGATGGATTGGTATATGAGGCAAAATCACTCTTAAAATTGATTTACAGGCTAGCCGTATGGGCGTTGAGGCAGTTTTGGCATTGCTGGAGGCGTCTACAGACACCCCTGCTTGTGTTGTGTCACTAGTTGGGAACCAGGCTGTTCGACTGCCACTTATGGAGTGTGTTCAGATGGTAAGTTTGCTTGTGCATGTGGACACAGAGGGTATGCAGAGTTGGCTGGTGGTCCCCATGTTTATGGCTGTTCACTCAGAAGGCTCAATGTGCTTTTCAAAGAACTAGAGAGAGGAAGAAGTCTAAACAGGATAGTGAAGGCATTTCAACTGCTGAATTATGTAAGGTTTAACCAACCGTGTTGCTTGATTGTGTGATATAATGATATCAGACAATATGTGTAAACAGCTGACTGAGAAGTGCAGCATCACATCTATTTCGTAATTAACACATATGAGACAGGTTGCAATGCAATGAGGCAAGGCAATAACACACATATCACTGAGCTTCAGACAACAGTAGTTCCTTTAAAAGTCATAACATTATAATAGAACTGAACTGAGACCTTGTTCTGTAGTAGACGTGTGTCACTCTTCAGAATGGAACACGCAGTATTAGCACTCCATATGTATTTATAGATCCTGCTGAGTTCCAATCTACACCTCTTTTGTTTTTTGCAATGCCATTCTTATATTTGAAACCTCACACTTGCACAGAACATGTACAGAACAACGTGAATGATAATGAAAGGCAAAAGGCAGCATCAAAGGAGGTTTATTAATGTGTTGTGAAAGAGCCTAGGATGTGTATTAAAAGAAGTAGTTGATTTAATTACACTAAATTTCTGTTGGTTAATTGCAAAAGAAATATAAATAGTTGCAACATTATTATGAGTCAGAAAAAACAATGGCCGTTTCTCAATTCACAAGAATATGGTGCTTGATGGGACAGCTGTCAATCTTGATGAACAAGAGAATGGACAAGTCTGCTCTGATGCAAGCTTGGTAAAGAGGGTGGGGAGGAGAACAACATCCAGGGACTTTTTCTGTTCTTGGTCTTGTGTTTTTGTGAATGGGAACAGTACTAGGACTGAGGCAAATGACATTTCACAAGCACACGGGCACATGAGAATGCCCAAATACACATATTGAGAAACGGCCAATATATATATTAAAAAACAAAACAGATAAACTCTAAACTTGTTATTAGGTCAACAGAATAATAGAGAGCTCATACAGTTATTCTCAATAAGAGCTTAACTAGCATCTACTGCATATCTAGAGGGGAAAGACGGGGTGAAGACAAGGCCAAGGACATCATCTATAGGAGAACATGAAGCTGTTAGCAGCAGTAGGCTATCTAATAACCGCCCTTAGGAAAGTGTCACAGGTAAATGGAAATCCTGGTCAGAATTACCTTCTAAGAAGAGAAAAAAAACAGACAGAGCATAAAGTCAATTTTCTTTCATAACAGTAGTTAATACAAAATTGTAGAGTAGTCCAAGAATGTGCCAGAAAGAGGGAAAAGAGTATATGTCCTTCCAGCAGCACAAGCCTGTGGAGCATAAGAAATAGCCTGAAATACCCTAAGCAAGTTTACACACAAAAGTCCAACTAGATGCTGAATGCATTTGTTTTTTGCTTAAACAGCAATTTTTTGTTTTGTCACCAGACTCAAGAGGTACAGAAAGCCATGGATGAGAAGAAATTTGATGAGGCAGTGAGACTCCGTGGGAGGTAGGTTGGATAGAAATTTTGCATCTAATAAATATCAGACCAATGGAATACTTTTATTATTTAAGATGATATGAAAAATCAATCTTCGCCTTCATTAAAAAAAAGTCTTAGAAAATTGAATTTGTTTTGTGCCACAATAGCCATGTAAAAAAAGCTAATCTAGCTATGTCAATTCCAACTGTTAGGCCTAAATTACAGAGGTTGGTGTTGGGAAAAAATAAAACTAGATATTAGACCCTCCCCACTCTTCCCTGTAGCTGTCATTCGGCAAAGGCAGGGAAGATTTTCAAAGCTGATGGAAATATAGACAGACTTGAGTGCAGCTTTTAGTAGCCATATAAAACTCAGGACTGGGGCGAGGTTCACCTCCAATCATGAAAATGGTGCTTAAAATGTAAAACCAGAGTTGTAATGGAATGGCTTAGATTAGGGTTTACTGATCTGTGTAAATAGGGTATTCAAAAGGACCAGGCATTGTTGCCAACAAATGTATGGCAACCTTTTTTAAGCATATCGTACATCCCAGGTTGCTCCAGAACTGCACATCCACCCACATAAAATATTTAGAAATCCTCTCTAATGAACAGGTGGAAGCAGAACTGTCGAGCATGCAGGAAAGTTTAGGGTGTCAACTGTGATTGACAGTGAAACACCTGCACACATCACAATCATGATGATTATCATTTTGCAATGGAGAGGTCAGGACACTCTCCATCTTCTTTACATGAGATATCGAAAATGCGGGAAAGAGAGGAAAGTTTTTTTGGAGGAATCCAGCACCCTTGAACTGTACTGGTTTGAGCCACTGGTTTGGAGATTCTGTGTGGCTGTTTCCTCTCCACATACAGTGTTTCTTGTGGGGATCTTCAATAATTTCCCAAACCAAACACTCTTGATAAACAAGAATATATACTGTTATTACCCAATGTTACAACAATAATCCAAAAGGTTTGTTTTAGATCAGAATGCCTGGACACTTCCTTTTGTCCAACTGTGATGCATTTTTTTATTTTTTTTACTTATTTTCAAAATTACTATTATTCTTTTTATAGCTTTTAGGTCAGATGAGTGACTGAGACAGGACCAATGTCATATTAGACTGGGCAAATTACACAGACTTGTTTTTACCAATTTTAATGCGTTTACTATTTATTGTTAACCTTAAAAATGGCGAGGACTTTGATTTATTTTAATTTCCCATTACATTTTTTTTTTTTTCTTTTATTGTCATTGAGTCAATAAGTGACAACAAGTATTGTCAATAAGTGAACCATAACTGCCTATGGTGGAGCTGCTGACATCAGTTCTTCTAAATCAGAGTTTTGGTTCATTAAACTTACAGTTATATACACAAAAGCAAGATTTCATCCAATGTGCCGTGAATGTTCAAAATAAGACCTTTGACATATAGACTGCCCTACACATCTACACATCTATTTCTTTAAAAAAAAAAAGTTCAGCACTAAGTCGGTCCAATTCAGTTAATTTATATAACACCAATTAACAACACATATCATCCCAAGGAACTTTATAGAGACAGTTCAACCAGATCATGCAGTCAGATGGGTGCAAAGTTTTCTATCAAAGGAAAACCAGCTGATTGCATCGACTCCTTGACTCAAAAGCAATCCCTCACACCAAGCAAGCTTGTGGCAATAGTGGAGAGGGAAAAATTTCCTTTCAACAGGAAGAAACCTCCAGCAGAACCAGGCTCAGTGTGAGCGGCCATCTGTCGAGTCTGGCTGGGGTTCAAGGAGACAGAAGCAGACATATAGAAAGAAGCAGAGACACAACTAACTGTCCACCGGCTAAACATGCGGCCCCGGCCAGGAAACACACAGCCAGGCAGACAAGTGGTGCTTGAAAATTATGTAAAAAGAAAAAAATGGACATTACTATTTGCTCATCTACTATACCATCTTGATAAAATAACACAAAGCTTTGGACTGTAAAGTGAGCAAATGTAAAAAAAATAAAAGGTCAAGCAGTTTGAATACTTTGCCAAGACAATATGTACATTTTGTCTTTGTTTTTTGCTTGTTATATGACTAGAAACTTACTACAATTTTTCAAACTAGAAATCATTGCCATTATCTAAAAGCTTTAACTCTTTTCAATCTGCAGGAGCTTTGAACATAATCTGACCACCTACAGACTGCTTTCTTCTCAGACTGCCCGCACGGATCTCCCAAATGTAAGAACCGCTGCAAATAACCAAAAAAAATCCACATTACAAACCTTCCAGAAAGTCGTTATTTTAATTATCGTAATGCATCTTTTTCAACAGCTGCTCAGAGATTTGTACATTAGCATAAGGTACCTCCTAATCAGGTGCATCCTGGGTGCTGCAGTCTTTTTTTGACACTAACAAAGTCTCTGTTTTTCTGTGACTGACTTGAGGGAGAGGAAGAGCAGGAGGCAGGGGATGGAGAGCAAACTCATGTATGTAATGTCTCTGCTTCTGGAGCTTCTACAGGGGTAGCTAGTTCCTGCCTTCCTGCCATTAGTTTCTAGGGAGTTTGCTTGGATAGCTGCTAAACTGTTGGCAAAATTTGTTTGCTGTTTATTTGCATTAAGAAAAATATCTTCAACATCCAAAGGTGGAGAGTATTTTAATCAGTTACAGTAACTTAAGTAACTTTTTTTGCAAAATTATAATTTTAAGAATAGTTTAACTTCCTCATTACTTTTTTTTTAATGAAAAGTAATCGAGACAAAGAAATACAGTTAATGTTTATGTCAATATGGGTGTTCTCTTTTGTATGCAAGCTTTCTTGAACCTGCCATAACATGTGGAGGTCAAGCTTATATATAGTAAGTAGTAAATATTTTCACTGACAAAATGGAAAGATTGTTTGGAAAAGTGCTCCTTCTGGCTGGAGTTTTTTTCTAATTGTTACATTATTTGTTTATTTTAAATTTTTTACTATAGTTTTTAAAAACTGTCTTAATTACATAATTCTCAATGTTAAATGTTATAATCAGTTACTCAGTATGTGAGTAGCCTTTCTATCAAATACTCTTTTTACCTTTACTTTAGTAATTTTTGGATGGTTAATTTGACTCTTAATTGATTAAGATTATGATGAAGTAGTTTTACTCTTACATGAGTAAAATGTTTGGATACCCCACCCACCTCTGTCAACATCATATTTAACATACTATATTCATACTATATTGACTAGTGCTGCGCGATATGGCTAAAAAATGTATCATGATATAACCTCTTGAAACAGGATGATATTGATACATATTTGTAATTGTTTTTTTTTACCTGTTTGAATAAAGGACTAGAAGTGAGCAGGAAAAAATAAAATTAAACCCTATTTCAGGGAAACCTGGGAGCCGTACCGCCAACCTTGCTTTGGCTAAATCCTTTCCACTAAAATGCCGTTGGCTCTGGATTAGAGTACATTTTCTATATTAAACGTTCTATTGGCCATATTTTCTGCTGATATTGATCAAGTGTATATCCTTATACATATTGTCAGTGTTATATTGCCCAGCCCTAATACTTATATGGTAAAAAGAGTAACATAAGCGTCAGTGCTCACAACATTTGATTCTGTCTATCATTGCTTTTTTTATGGCTTGGTGCAGGGGTGCAAAGTTTTAACGAGATACATTGGGACTTACAGTAAGCTTAGACACAAGCCTCTATACTGACTAATCAGCTTCAGGGGTCTTAAAAAAAAGTTTCCTTCAACTAAAGATTGAGTATGTGGAGACAGAGTCTAGGAACATTATTCATTGCTGACAACCTTTAGGTTTAATATACACTTACAGCTTTGAAATGCATGATTTACCTTCAGGTTTTCTTCTGATTACAGTCTTTTCATTGCCACAACCAGACAACAGAAGGAAACATGTTTATACATGTTTTAATAAGGTTACCTGAAATCACAGATTACAATGAAACAATGTCTAACTCCAACTTTGACTTTGGTCCTTCAATCAGGGAGCAGGTAGCAGTTGAAATTGCTCATAATTAAGCAATAGTTGCTTTATAATAAAGTGTTAGGAGACAGTATGCTCCTAATTTGCACAAAAAGTGCAACAAAATAGTTGGTGATTGTTATTACAATTACAAACATCGACAGCATTCACAGGTGTCTGATTGGGTTACCTTGATCTGCCATGATATAAAGATAGATGCAAAATCACCTACCTTCAAATAAAAAATGCTGAATATTACATTTCTTCAATAATGTAAAAGATAATTTTAATTAATAAAGAACACTTTATACCATTGTTTGTAATAAAAAATAAAAATGAGTAGTAGTTAAATTAAATTCTGCATATTCAGAAAATGAATTTACATAAAACTGGAAGGAGTTCAGGAAATGCAGTGTACTTTACAATAATTTTTGATTATGTTCCGCTCCGTCAACATTTATGACAAGATATGCATCTTTAACCAGTATTTATCTTAAAATGTAATCTTTAATTTTTGTTGAATAAAATATTTTATATTTTATATATTTTACGCATCCCTACAGGCAATGTCCATGCTTGTTGACTGAAATTGACATTAGCATGCCTGCAGTTCCCATTTTCTGGCACCTTCAAGCTATGGCTGTATCTAATTTCACCATTTTCTACTAAGGACAAAATATTATATTATTTGAAAGTGAATGATGTGTTTCAGTGTATAAATCAATCTTAAAATGTTGACAGTTATTGATTAAGTTTTTTGTTAAAGCCAAAGGTTAGTAATTTGTCAAAACAACCCTATATTTTCTGTGGTTGTTAGGAGAAAACAAAGGGGACTGCTTCTCTGCGTCTTTAGAAGCATGTAGCTTCTTGCATGTAAGAGTTTCATAGCAGGACTTATTTCATTTCCTCAAAGGTTTTAATGCTGGGGTTCATATATGCAATGCTTAAGCACTTAATGGGAAAATCATGCATTAAGTGTAGCAAAAAATGTGCCAGATCTCGGTTTTACAGCCTAAGCATTTGCCAAGCACCCAATCTGCTTCATCTGCTGCATATTTAGCACCTTTCAGGGCTACGTATCTTTGTGTGAAATATGTGCCCTCCATCATCCTCAGAGCACCTTTAACGTGGCGGTGATGAACGTCGGTGCTCCGGCTGCTGGTATGAATGCTGCGGTGCGTTCTGCCGTGAGAGTGGGGATTACAGAAGGCCACAAAATGTTTGCTGTCAACGATGGCTTTGAGGGATTCTACAAGGGACAAGTAAGTCTCCACAAAAAAAGAAAAACATAGCAGCATAAAAATAGGCTACACCATTGACCAAATCATGCTTTATATATATATATATATATATATATATATATATATATATATATATATATATATATATGAATTTCTCCAACCTAAAAAGGCTATTAAGCTTGAGGACTCGGCCAGTGTTGTTTTGAAATGTAATAGAGCTTAGAAAAGATAACATTTCTAAAATTCTTAATAACAAGTAATATAAACTGCTGTGGCATTGGGTCTGGTTAACTTTCTCAGTCATCCAGGTCATAGTCATTCCAAAAACGTTAAAAAACAATCCACTTTGTTTCCACATTTGAAGACATTTCCTATCTCTTTCAGGAAGCTTTTTAAATTCAAAATATCAGAATTAGCATTGAGTTCGAGGCTTTATAGAGGGGCTTAGAAAACCTGCGAATTGGACTGGAAGAGGGGTCCGCCCCTTAGGAATGGGGAGTCTTGTGGGTTCTTTGTTAGCCTGCAATACCTGATACTGGTCTATGCCTCTGAAAGGAGCAAAAGCTTCCTGGATGGAAAGTGAATTACCTTCAAACTTGATAAAAAGTTCAGTGGATTGTTTTTTTTTCTTCCTTTTTTAGAATGACATATTTAGAGTGACTATTACATCATCACTAAAAATAAAAATCACTTCTTTTATACTATAGAGTTTAGAGTCACAGGATAACCCTGAACAGAGCCAGTAACCTGTCTTCTGTTTGAAATTGTTAAAGAAACTTTTTAAAGGAATTGTCTTCATGGATTTTTTTTTTTTACCTCCTTTTCTTTTAAGTTTATATGTTAAGGATTTTGAAGATAAATATCCTATAAATCTGCTTAGGTCACATAGTGATGGCTTTTAAAAATTCTCAAGCTACAGAAAACTAAAAAGTTTTGGAAAATGGTTCCATAGGTGCATGAATTGTTCTTGAATCTACTTAAAAATCTACCTCACAGCCTCACTATCTTTCATTTTGTCATTCATAATCACCTTTTAAGGAGAATATTATGTTATTCTAAATTCAAGCAAATTAAGGATTTTGTAGAACATCAACTCCTGTCACATATTTGAGTATGAGTGGTGCTTTGATATGTTCCAGCTCTGAGTAGTGCTTGAATTCTGACATCAATTGTGTGCAGTTAACAGTATTCTACTATATCATCACATTGCTTTTTTCAATTGTCAATTTGTCAGATAGTTATAGGTTCAGCTTATCAGACAGTAAGTGTTACTATTATTTTCACTTGATTCCTACCAAGTAAAGCACTTATTGTCTTTCCCAGGGCAGTAACTAATCTGCGTAAATTTGTGAGCTGACAAAATTAAACTTTGTGTTGCCTGTTTGGCTCACATTAAACCAATGAATGGAAAAATGGCCAACTTGCATTTCTTTTTTTTAATGTGATATTTAAAAAGTTTGCAAAACAGTTACATTAAAATTGGATGGAAACCAGTCTTCAAGTCAAAATAGATCACTATGTAGTTAATGGGTTTATATCAGCATTATAGAGCATGTTTTTTAGTATGACTAATTAAACATTTGTTTCTTTAAAAAAAACAACAGAGGAGTTTTTAGTACCCAACTATAAAATTCACTCAACATGAAGCATTTCTAGGTATCCTGATAAAGGAAATTGGCTAAATGCACAGTCATTTACTCTCTCCTTTGAGCTCTAATGACTATACTGACAACAAGAGCCTCCTGTAAACACTTCTGCTTCCTGTAGACCAATTACTGAACTTCCCCCAGCAGCAGTGCCATTCATGCAAAGAACCGTTCTCCCACATGCCCTGCTGACCACACAAACACTTGTTTACACACACGTACGCATTTAGTGACTGAATGTTCCGGCAAAGCCACAGTGACCTGTTTATACTCTCAGAGGTGGTTTGTGAGAAAGGATAATTGGACATGTTTGAAAAGTGAAGAAGTAATCCTTGAGCAAAAGCCTTTATAAGTAGGACACAGACTCATTTGGAGAACAGCTTATTAGGTAAAATGCCGCCTTCATTGATACTAGATAAAAAGAGGGAGGGGCAGAAAAATGAGCCACACTCTAATTCTGCTGCTATGAAATACCCAAGATTAAAAGTGTTTATTTTTAGAAACTTTAATCTAAATGTTTATGTTAAAAGGATTCTTGTATTGCAATAATTACAAAGTAAGTCAATGTCAATCAATCCATTTTCAAACTTATTGTCATTATTTTCAGATCAAGGAGATCAAATGGGGTGATGTTGGTGGTTGGACTGGCCAAGGAGGGTCTCTGCTGGGGACAAAAAGGTGAGAGCAAATATTTTGACTTTATTTAACTTTAATTGTAATAAGGCAAAAATAATTATAACCTTAATATGAAACAGATATGAAGAAAAACACAGTTGTCAGTTAACTCACTTAATGAGGGACAAGCATTACCATTACTGATGATAACTGATGATGTCATTATATTTAATTTGATCCATTTTAGTGCATATATGTTGCCTCTTTGATAGATTTATTAAGCTTTATTTATTAGTCTTATTTCCTAGAAAACTTAATGCCAAAATGAAGTTAAAAACAAAATCATCCTTCCACTACAGGACTCTTCCAGCAGAGCATTTGGATAAAATTGCAGAGCAGATGAGGATCCATAGCATTAATGCTTTACTTGTTATAGGAGGATTTGAGGTATGTTGCTTTTTTTATTTATTAGAGAACGTAAACCTGGTAACTTGATCATAACTGTGCTTTTTAGATGATTATTGTAAAGCATTATAAACATATGTGTTAATAATTTGTTTTGAAATCTTTCTGATTTTTTATTCTCACTTTCCAGTAAGCTTGTTATGATTTTTTCCTTTTTTTTTGCTCTATTCATTAACCACATTGAACCCTATTATCAAACAGTATAGAAGCTCTCCTTAACAGTACTTTACAGTTGATCTAAAAACGTACACATCCCCATTAAAATGCCAGACAAGTGACATATAAATATTAGACTTTCATAAAATGTTTTCCAATTTTTTTCTATATTAAAGATTACTTAAATTTGATAAAACCCATGTAGAAAAGACTGAAAATTATTGAGATGGAATATGTGGAAACCCAGAGCATAATACTGCCCCCACCATGCTTCAAACCAATTGTTATTTGTAGAATACAAGCAATTTTTAACTATTCAATTCCTGATGCTCATTCAATGCTGGTCTTAACTGTTGTATAAGAACAGCAGTTATAACAATGACTCAAACTGATTTAAATATGCTTAAATACTTACAAGTTGCATAAAATCTATTTTTATACTAATCTTTAACTGTTTAACTTTTTTAGTCTAACAGATATTTTGCTTTAATTATTTTATTTATATAAGTTAATTCTCAGATAGACCAAAAGCCTGGCATTTTAAACGACGGATTGTACGATTTTTAGATCCGCAGGAGATCTCTTCCTTATCTTTGAGGAGTTAACTTTCAGTAGCTCTCTTTTTAACATCCAGCTTGTTACAAACATGTCTTGACTTCTTAACTTTAAGAAAATAACAGTATAGAGGTAATTGTTTCATGCTTAACTTAAAATACAATACTGTTAAGAACATTTGAGAGAAATTTGAGAAATCTGGTGCCCTTTAAATAAACCTCAGAAAATATATATCTTGTGTTCAAATATCTGCACAGTATTGTATGTTTTATTATTGGCCAAGCTGCAATCCTTTCTGTAAAAATGTGCACAGCACTGCCTCTTGTGCCATATTTTATCATTGGTCAAGAAGTAATTGTTTCTCGGTTTCTATTGAAGGATTAATGCAGCTTTTCCAATGAAAGAAAAGTGGATTTTTTTCATCTTTGTTTCTTTTTTTATGCAACAGCATCATCAGCTTCCTTCGCATGTCTGGTGCCTGTTGTGATTGGCTTGGCTCTCTCCCTTTGGCTTCTCCCCCCACTACGCTCATCGCTCATCTACTGAACTTTGTTTTTCCCAAGAGTGCCTGTATTTTTCCCCACTACATTTCTCCCATAAGCAGCCCCATCCTTTCTCATACACCCTCCCTCCCTGTTTGGATATAAGCCAAATTCATCACGAGTTTGAGTCTCCCCATTTGTTCTCCTCTCAATGCTCACATTACACACAATTCAGGTGATATAAGAGCGCCTCAGCATGGTTGATGATAATGAAGACAGTTACTGTCAGTATTCCCTACATTTAGGGTCTATTGATTGTTTTATCCAAAGAATATTTTAATGTTTAATCATACAGTTAAGCAAGTTGAACATCTTCCTTTGGATCTGGTGCTGCATCTGTTTCCCTCTTGGACTTATTCTTACCTAAACATTCATCTATGTCATTACCTCCATTCTGCTCTGTGAATATCTTGGCTTTAAGTCAGACATTTCTACTATCAATCTCATAAACTTACCAATAAGATGCTGGGTCTCCACGCTGCAGGCATACGTTGGATTACTGGAACTCTCATCTGCACGGGACAAATACGCGGAGTTCTGCGTGCCGATGGTTATGATCCCAGCCACAGTCTCCAATAACATACCGGGATCAGATCTCAGCATTGGCTCAGACACAGCTTTGAATGCCATTACTGATGTAAGTTTGACTGGCCTAGAGTGCATGCAGGTGTTTATAGATCTGTCAGTCAGACTCTTTTCTTCCATCACAGTTTGGGACTCTTCTGACTACCAGCTTGCTTCCAACAATTAACGTGTAGAAAGTAAACTTTATTCACATTGTTATATGCTTAAAATCTTGGTTGAAGGCATATAGCCGTCTAATTTAAGATTTTTTTAAATGTAAACCAACTCACTCTTGTTTCATACATTTTTTATAACAAATCAAATTATCCTGTGGTGTAGTGCTTGTTATTGTTTATCAAGTTTAGTTTTTGCTCAGTTTGTTGGTAAATATAGCCTTTCTGTGTATATTTACTATAACAGCGACATGTGACCAGGATTACGTCACTGTGCATGAATACAATTGGTCAACAAGCTGAAGCAATAGAGGCAAGCGAGGGTGGAACTCCGCCGTTGTCCAAAATCAAATAAAAAAAGGTAGAAAAAGATATTTAATATATTTAATTCCAAGACTCTAAAACTCATATTGGCCTAGGAAAATAGTATGACTGTTAGAGTACACTAAAACTGGAGCTAAAGCCCAGGAAGCATTCTGCCGATGCTTCAATATTGATAGACACATGAGTATGTGCCAAAGGTGCTAATGGCAATGCTTTTAAGCCCTATCCTAATGGTTTTTACCAAGGTATTATAGCTCGATTAGAATGGTCTGGACCTATTTAGTAGCTGTATCAATGGCCATCATCTGACTTTCTGATAGTTCGGCTGAATTGCCAGTAAATGGCACCACTTCTGTTTAGGTCAACTCATTGTGCCAGTCGACTGGGTTATATTTAGGATATTAAGACCATCAAATAACCATCATGGCTCTGTATATATATAAAACCTTATTTTATTATATAACCTTATTTTATTATAATCAACTGGATTTCGATTTTTTTTTGCTGTAGACATACAACGTGACTCTGTACCTTAACGGAAAAGAAAAATTCAATCACATTAACATGATTGTGGAAAATTGAAAACCATTTTATCTGATAGACCTTTGGTATAGAAGAGTAGTCATCAAATTTAGTGTTTTGTTTTTTATACCTTAAAGGCTATATGTCATTTACTTAAATGTGTTTTAACATTTTTAATACTGCATTTACTTGAAATGATAACTTTAAAATAACAGCTAAAGTAATAAATGTCCTCAGGTTCATGCAGGGTAGGTCCTTTTATCTTGACTTTAGGTCAAACTTCACTCCCATGCTTCTGTTGGTTAATGTGAATTCTTAATTTGAATTGTGATTGAATCAATTGGCATTAAAATAAATGGACAGATCTAAGTAGATGAGTAACTGAAAGTTTTCCCTTCCTCCTTTTCTTGCAATCAACACAGAGTTACGATGTATGTGTTGTGCCAACAAGTAAAACATGTCCGTATAACGTCCATGCTGGATAAAGAAGTCAAGCAAATGCAATATTTCAAAATAGATGTTTTATTTTTAAACAAGTACTTCGCAAACTTTTTAAATCCCCTTGAGCGTGACTGCTCCGTCAAGTCATTGGGAGAGGTAGAAAGAAAATCCAATGCATGGAAAGAGGGCAGGAACACATTACCATAGCTGAATTGCTGGTTTTGTAAACAGGAATTAAAAAGTTATATAAAGAAAGTCTTGAGCACCTTCTATGGGAATGAAAGCTAAATGAAAACAACTGTAATCCCAACAAAACCTTTTTCAAAAGTACAGGACAGGAAAACCTAAACAGAGGGACACTGAGCCATAAGTACTTTAGGGAAGGGAAGAGAGCATTTTGCTAAAGTTAGTTTTATACTGTAATACTCTCATTGGCCAAATGTTGCAACATCTCAGTTACAGAATTTGAATCCTATACATTGGAGGTCTTCAACAGGGGGTCCGCAACCCCTAGGGGGTCCATGAGATACTGCATGGGGGTCACAAAAGTTTTGATTGATTAGACTTTTTTTTATATTCCCCCCTGCAATTGTTTCCACTAATTGAAATGTCTTTAAATCCACATTAACATGAATTCAACAAACTGTAGTAAACAGATAAATGGAGGCAGAAGATGTCTTTCAGTCATCAATGCACACATTCAGAGACACACAGGAGATCTTTCAAGCTGGGCACCGTTTCATACACAACACCTATCCCATCAACCAGGAATCAGAATCAGAAATACTTTAATAATCTCAGGGAGAAATGACTTTCGCTACATGACTCCATCTGTAATAGAGAGACTATAGGACCAGTTTGATATAACACAATTTCATACAATATATATAATTAGGGGATCCCTGCTCCATCTCGCCATCAGTATGGGGGTCCTTAGCCTGGAAAATGTTGAAGACCCCTGGTTTACATCTTTAGATTTATTGAAACCAAAGTTTTCTGACTGATGATGGATCTTCATAAGAACATCAGAAATGTTTCCTTTGAGCAGACATATGTTGTACCAAGGGATTAACACCTCTAAATATACAGATTTTCATTTTGATTCTGCTAATCAAATAAGGCTGTAAATCAGTAAAATTCTAAAGAAAGTGGAAAAGTCATCGTCAGTTATCCCTTTAGATACATAGAGTTTAAAATGAAACATTATCACTAGTCTGCTCATGTGAGCCTGATAGAAAAATATAAACATACTATCCATCTATATCCATATAAGGCTAGAACATGTCATTTTATCTCACTTTTTAATCGTGTTTGTTCTTCTGGATGAGCTGTAGATTATGTGTGGTTCCAAAATGTTATAAAGGTACATCTCAGAACCAGGAACTAGACTGAGGTTGGTTTACAGGAAGAGATATTAAGCATAAATTATTTACAAGGGCCGCTTATTACTTCTGACCTACCAAATACACTCACACACGCATTGAAGCAGCAAGTGTATTAAAGTTATTTGACTTTAATACAAACTAAAACTCCTCCCTCATTGTTGACTAGTAGCTAAAAATGGCTCATAGCAGATATATTTGGAAAAACATACATGTGGCTGATCTTCCAGTAGCCTTCAACTTTAGGTGCTTGACCTTGACTGACCTTAAGGGGAGAAACAGATTTGCTCTCACATAGAAAAAAAAAGAAAAACAGTGATAGATAAAAGTAGTGCAGTGCACGTTAAGAGAAAAGGAAAAATAAAAGAATAATCTGGATAGTTCTCTAAAAACACTTGAATGAATGCTCTGAAAATGGAGCTAATCTGTCTTAAGTTATTTTACTGCTGCTGGTTTTTGGAAGTGAGCTGGTCTGTAGAGGTCCCATGTAAGTGTCAGAGCATGCAGTGACTTGTTGCATGTTTGTGGCATGCGTCTCAGTGTGTTGCTTGTGTCAGTGAAGTCTGCTGTTTGTGTGTCAGTAAACAGCGAGTCTGCAGCAGTCAGACTCAGTTCTTCCAGGGTGTCTTGATTTCTCCTACAAATGACGCAGAGACAGTAAGTTTCCTCTAGAAGGCACAGATTAGTCAACACCTTTGATTCTTTTGGTTCAAACACTCCTTTCTAGACAGATATAAATGGATTCGGCGCGTTCAGAATCTCCACATTTTCGCATTGGTCTTTATCTAGTTGCGTCAACAGCTTGACTTGTCAGCTGCGATGAGCCCCCCCTACACGCCATTCTGACCCCTCTCCGCCAACGAGAAGCCAAAGCCCCATCCCTGATATCCTGGAGAGAGCCAGCTAAGCAGCACATTCTTTACAGAGCTGAATGGTCACGGTCAGTTACAGTAAAGAGGGCTCCCTTAATTCATGTATCCTTTCTTTTCAATTGTTTTCTAAGGTACCGCTCCCCTTCTCATCTTTATAAAACATGAAGGTGGTTTTGGCAAAGCATGTTTTGCAAACAAAACAGAATTCAGTGTAAACCCATCACAGAAATGAAGGATACAGGATGAGGGAGCCCACAGGGCACCATGAGGCAGTTTGTAAAGACACTTTAAAATGCAGGTATCCCCCCCTAGTGGTCTAACTTAATGTTATGACCACAACCATCAGGCCTTTGAGTCTTTGCTGGAGCTCTACGAGGCGAGGGCCAACTACAAGGAGTTTTGCATCCCCATGTGCATACTGCCTGCCACCATTAGTAACAATGTGCCAGGCACTGACCACAGTCTGGGAGCCGACACGTCACTCAACGCCATTGTGGAGGTAAGAGCCAAAGACAAATATACACCTTATGAGTTGGGGGTGTGACTCCTGAGATTGTTACTAGAATGATCCATCAATTGCAGGTTATAAGATATTATTAAGAGTTTCGCCAAACATTTCTCAAACCAAGGAATTAACGGGGCTTTGGAGAATTCAAACATATTAGAAATGTCTCATTAATAATATCAGAAGCAGTTAGTTGGTTTTGACAGTTATAATGGAATCGACACACTAAAATTGAGGGTCTGGCTCTGACTCACAGCAATCACCTTAAATTTTAAATCAATGAACTACACTGTTCTCATTTATTTGTGCCAGAATGAAAGGGCAGTTAGTTGGAACCTCTCAAATGAGAATTATCATCCTTGTCTTCAGTGCATAAATTTGCCTGAAGGGATTCATACGTTTCTGCCCCGTGTAGACCACTTACCTACAAATTCTTTTCATTAAAGATGCTGCTGAGGTTCAGCACAGTAAAATCAGGCAAATCCGTCATTCCTTCAGACTCCTTTGCATTTCTTACACATAGTTACTTAATAAATATCGTAAAACCACCTTAAAAACACATGCAGGTTCAAAGCAAGAAGAAAAAGACTAAATTAAGATGGTACCATGTCTGCAGAACCACAGGTCAGTACTTATGGAGTAACTGAAGTTAAACCTGTGAGTACAAATGTTTTTTTTTTCAGTTAGACTACTTGCATGTTACGTGTTTGTTTGCGTTTTCTTGATGTGCTGTTTACTGCTGATGCCCATTGTTTATTGGATTGTTGCCTATGTGTTCTACATGTCATTGATAGGGTGATTTTAACCAAAAGGAAGGTTCAGTGAGCACAAAGAATGCAAATACATTTGACAGACCACTGAATTGATCCGATTTGGTTGACTTTACTTGTCTGCTAATAGCAAGATGCACAGGTTGACTTTTAAGGTTCCTACTTTTTTTTTATATAATGTATAGAGATTTTTCCCCAATTTCAGTCCTTGTTATATTAGTGGAATAACTTATTTAAGTGACTAAGTGACTCACATAACTGCAAACTTTATGCAAATTAAGATGAAAATGAAATTTTATGCTATTTTAGATGCTTATTCTTTCCCTGATTTTGATTTCCTTTAAGTGAGATTTTAAATTAATGCTAAAACTGTAATACTAAGCTCCTTTTCATTATTTAACTGCACCAACCTATAGCTCAACCTGTGCATCAGTGTAGCTCAAAATAACCCGCAGAGATTTTATCTACTCTAAAGCAGAGCTGCTGCTCTTTTTTATTTTATCTTTCTGTCTTTTACATTTATTTAATAAAATATTCAATATGTGTCATTCAATTTAAAGGTTTTCTGACTCCAATGGTTTTCTGACTCTAATGGATTTGACAAATGATAATTATCACAAAACCTCATCATGTAATCGACATAGAACCAAGAAGAATCCAGTTTGACTTATTTTAGCTCTGCTTCAAAGTATGTCCTCTGCAGCTGCGTGCCCCAACAGAGACTGAAATGTTCAGATTCCTTAAAACTGCATAACTTTTCTATGAATCAGACATGCGATCGCATCAAGCAATCTGCCAGCGGCACCAAGCGACGGGTCTTCATCATAGAGACAATGGGGGGCTACTGTGGCTATTTGGCCACAGTGGGTGGTCTGGCTGCAGGTGCAGACACCGTCTACATCTACGAGGAGCCGTTTGACATCCGTGACCTCCAGGTCAGATTAATATCTATTCACATACAGTTTTCCTTGTATGTATATTTATTTACATTTCTTTGATACATTGCACTAATGCTTCATGGAAATTTTATATATAGTATTTAAGTTCATATGCACCTTGCTTCTGCTATGGTCACAATGTGTCTGAAGTGTGTGCATGAGCCAGATTAATGCCAAGCATATAAGGAAACCTATTAATAACTTCTGAGCTGCATCATTCATTCCATTACAGACAGATCCCTTTAGAGGATTAGAATGCAGGACTGCCTGTGTTTGTTCTGACCGCCACATCGTGCCAAAAACTGGAGCATCTTTTTTTAACTTTATATTCACTTCGCCTGATAAGACATTAGATTTCAATCTATTAAATTTCACTTTTTTCTTTCAAATTGTCTTATTTGCCAAAACAAGAATCTATGATTATTATATTTGTTGGATACTAAGGTGGATGTTTTGAGGAATATATGAAAAATTAAAGGTTAAATGACATGTTTGTGATATGTATCATTCAATGTTTTAGTTTAAATGATTAAGTTTCTTAGCTGTATTAAAAAAATGCTTTCAAAT